TATATATATATATATTCAAAACAATAACGAACAAAAAATACTAGTATTATTGTGAAAAAAGCGACGGGCGCTTGATATACAAAAAATATGGCATAAAGCACCGACGCTTTTTTCACAAAAATAGTAGTATTTTTCGTTCGTTATTGTTTTAAGCTTATTCAAAAAACATATTTTTAACTTTTTAGTTCGATGTTCTTTGAAATCTTATTTTTTAGTTTTTATACTATATTTATTTTATCTAAACTTTGGGATCAATCAGCCGTGTATTGTTTAGAAAAATGACCATTGATATTTTCCGATACATGTAAAGTGAGTTCGAATTATATCAAAGAGATTACGTACAGCGCCATCTGCCCGCGAATAGATCAAGCAATAATGTCGATATATCAATTATGTTACGTACAGCGCCATCTGTCCGCGAATAGATCAAGCAATAATGTCTATATATCAAGTAGGTTACGTACAGCGCTATCTGCCCGCGAATAGATCGAGCAATAATGTTGATAATTCTGTCAAATACAGATACCAAGCTTGAGAGTTACAAACAAACAAACATACATACATACATAAAGGTGAAGCTGATAATTTTTTTATATAAGCTTCAAACTATAACGAATGAAAAATACTAGTATTATTGTGAAAAAGGCGACGGGCGCTTGATAAACAAAAAATATGACACAAAGCGCCATATTTTTTTTTTAGTCTATTCAAAGTATATTTATTTTATTCAACCTTTGGGATCAGTCAGCCATATATTGTTTAGAAAAATTACCATTGATATTTTCGTACAGCGCCATCTGCCCGCGAATAGATCAAGCAATAATGTCGGTAATTCTGTCAAATACAGANTATTATTTTTATTCAATTTTGTAACAAATGAGTATATTACAAATTATTAGTAAATTACATGTGACATTTAAACTTATGAATGAGGTAGGTAGGGCAGATAGCCTTAAATCTTTAAATAAATTGATGGATGTAGCCGTTACTACGTGGTAGGAGATCATAATGAGAAAATGAAAATTTCTATGTTTTTCACCACTTTTATTTGTAACCAACGTTACTGCAGTTTTCTCCTATACGGACATTCTCAAAGTTCTACATAAGTATAAGTAGTAAAAAACATAGAAATTTTCATTTTTTCATTAAATCTTTAAGAATAATATTTTTTATTTTGAATTATAAATACTTTCAATTTCAATCTAATTCAGCACTAATCGGTGCACAATATTTTTGGTTAACCTG